GCAGCAGTGTGGGCGGCACCCCACGTCCAGATTACAATCACGGCTCCGTGGCCCTGGGCCGACCGCAGGGCAGCCATAGTCGGGCGGCCGTCAGCCGAGCCCAGGCGGCACCTGGACGGCGTGCAGCCTCCACGTCCAGAGCACTGACAGGAGAGCTTTTCATAACCGGGGCTGGCCCGGCTCCAGGAGCCCCGGTCAGACGGCTCGGGGTGGTCAGAGCACCTGAGGACAGCACCACCCCCTGCCCGGGCCTCCAGGGCTGCACTCACTGGTCCTCATTCCGGAAGACGCCCCACACCACGCTGATAGCCACGCACAGCAGCGCCAGGAGCAGCGTGAGGACCTGTGGGCGCTTGTGGAAGTAGGGTAGGCTGTTGTCCGGAACCCTGCAGGTGGGCGGGGGTGTCAGGGGCCTCTGACCCTCACAGCCCCATCTCTGCCCAGCACCCCGAGGGCCGGCTCAACTCCTGCCCCCAACGCCCCCAGCCTCCCTGCATCTGGCCTCCTGCTGAACTCAGGGCTCTGTTCTGAGGGGCCCCACCAGCCTGCCCACCTGGCCCCCGACTTCCTCCCCTTCACCTTGTCCATGAAACTCACCTTCCCTCACCTTGTATTTCTAACTGGGAGGCTCCCAAGGGCAGGGCAGAGAGGGTGGGGCCAGGTCTTAGCGGGGAGTGGACAGTCACTAAGCCAACCCTGCACCAGAGCCCACTGTTGGGTCCTGGCCCCAATAGCCCGGCCTGCTGCGGGCCACCGCTCTCGCCCTGAGCCCTGCTTTCTGACCCTCACCTGACCTCGTCTAAACCTGCAGTTTCCCACCTGCTCCCTGAGAGCCACCCCCCACTGCCTCCCCACTCTGCTTTGTGCCTGAGGCCCGTGAGCCCCCTGCCAGCACTGAGTGAGCACCTGCTGTATGCCCGCACTGTGCCCAACAGACCGAGGGCCGCAGTAGAGAGGCCTCGGCACTACTGAAGCCACAGTCTCGGAGGCCAGCTGACAGGACGTGGATGCAGATGGGCCAAAAGGCACAAGGGGGGGTCCCCGCAAGCAGAGTTGGGGGTGAGGGCCAGGTGGGGGCTGCCCCCAAGGGCTTACCTGCATTTGCAGAACGGCAGCCTCTGGACGAGCGGTGACAGGCAGCTGTAGAGGCCTGTGGAGGAGGCCAGGCAGAAAATCCCAATGATCGCATAGACTGCAGGGCAGGGCGGACAGTGAGGGGCGGCCCGGGTTCCCTGGCCCAGGCCCGAGCACCCATGCCCCTGGGCCAGAGGGTCTCCCCAAGGAAAGGGGGGCAGCCCCACCCGAGGGGCCTCCTCGAGGGCTGGAGACAGCGGCCAGCACGCAACCCGGCCTCCCCGCGGAGCCCCAGGGCGGGCCCGGGCGGGCGCACCGAGCTGGTCGTAGAAGTGGTAGAGCAGCACCAGCATGGAGCAGCACGTGACCACGAAGACTCCGATCATGGCGGGCGTCACGTCCACCGCCTCGTCCTCCTGCTTCGCGGGCCCGTCGTCCCGCTTGTGCTTCATGTACCTCCTCGAAGGGCGCGGGCACGGGCGGGTCAGGGGCGCGAGGCGGGGCGGGTCAGGGGCACGGGGGTGGGACGGGCAGGTCAGGGGTGCGGGACGGGCAGCGGGGCAGGCCAGGG